TTTTTTTGAATGAAAAGAATGATTTTTATAGGAGAAGGATGAAAATTTTAGCAAAATGGGTCGGAGAATACGCAGTCTTCGTTACTACAGTTCTGTATAATACTACTTTTGGTAGACTTAACTATTTGTTTAAAATTTCATCTAATTAGAACGAAATTCATTGTGAAAACTAAGTTACCAATCCCATTTTTGTTCCGAATTGTAAGTCAATTCATACACTACATTAAGAAAATGTAACATGGATTTATTTCATATTGAAAAATAAAGCAATTTTGTTGAAGAATAGACCATCAAATGAGTTTAATCATAGATCAACTATTGATTTATTTGTTAAGTAATACAATGTTTTTTATTTAATTATCTTATTTGTTTTATTTTATATGGTCTTTTCTTCATAGCTATATGGACAAATACATGTCTAACTGTATGAATAAACATATGTACGAAAAAAATGTAATCTCCAAATTTTAAACCTATAACTTAATGCATAATATGATTTTTAATCGTTTAACTTTAGTATGAACAGTTGAATTTTCGGCTGTAATAAAGCCATCATCAGAACGTGATGTTGATCATAAAGTACAAAATTTAATTTTTTATTTTAATTTTTTTATCATTCGTTGATGTTATTTTTTATTGAGGGTTCTCAAAATTTAAACAAAATTTATAGGTTTAAAATTTGAACATTACATTTTTTCGTACGTATGTCTATTCATACAGCTAGACATATAATTGCCCATATACCTACGTAAGCAATGCCTGTTGTTATTCTGAAAGACCATTTCTCTTTGATGTTGTAAGGGTAAACCATTTCTGCTTGAAATAGAACAGCTTTCCATTTTTCGAGGATATTGGCCAGTTCTCATCACTTTTAGATTACTTTTTCCGATCAATACTATCTATTTGAATATTGCTTCCTATTTTCGTATGCGAGTGTAGACTGGTCGTTTCCCTAACAAACCATATGTCTTTTTGTGTACTCAAAAAGTGAGTACATTCTAGAATCGGTCAGTGTGTCCGGCCAGCCGTTCACACGATAACTCTTCAAAAACTCATCCGACTGCGATGGAATGTTGTACACAGTTTAGTCTTAGCAATGTCTCGGTCGAATTCGAAGATGAGAATGATTGGCCGAGCCATTGCTGAGTTATTGCAAAAATAGTCATTTTTTCCTATGCTTCTCTATGAGAAGATCGATCCTTCTCTGTTTTCGTAAAAAACTTTTCCTATCATAGTCAAATAAAACCCCAACTATTCTAAACCATTCGATAGAGAATTTCATGAGCTACAAAATGGTATATAAAACATAAGGAAACAAGAAAGTTAACTCACTTATTGCAAAGATAATTAAACGGAATTCGGTTCTGTGTTTGTCCACGCGCTAATTGATCCATAAATAGAGATCTATCTTTCGATCACAGAGATGATAGTTCGAGGTTTTCTGGGGTGGAGAACTCGAATCCGTACTCCACTTCCATCTAAATACTATTGGTTGAGCAGTGACCAATAGAAATCAAGTTATAGGAAAAACGACTTTCGTTAGGGTAAATCAAGGGTAAGAGTTCAAATTTTCTCTGTATTCGGTCCCAAGTCCTATTGGTTTGGCAATACTCAATAGAAATCAACAGTTTCGAGGGTAGGTTCCCCAGTATAATTTAGATGTCCACACATTCGTCGGATGGCTGATTCGTCTGATTCGATTTTTTGAAGTACACATAACTCTCGGATTTAAATCCGAAGTTTCCGCATTTATTCTTAGCTAAATTTCAACGTTCATTCGTTTTTTTTTGTTCATCAATTCTCAAAAAACCGTTCGATTCCTTCTCCGAAATACGGTCAATTTTAAGCAAAATCTTTCAATCGATTCTTTCCTTAATGCTGATGACTTCAAGAATTCCTGATTGTATTTTACTATTTCTAATATTATATGCGATATTAAATGAAGTAAAATATTTAAAAAATTTGATCAATTTATTTGAATTTTATTTCAATGGAATTCAATTATCGAAAAACTGACAAGTAAATAAATAACTTACTTCTGCTCGTTCATAAGCTGGTCGATTTTTAGTTCCTGGTATAATAACATAAGGAACTCGATCACCTAAATTAGGTGCACTACCAGGATCACGTTTACGCATTTTATTAGCTAATTCAACATGTGGTTGTTTATTAGCGTATTCTGCATCAGTTTTTGTTAATTCTTTACTAATAACTAATTGTGATATATCAATTCGATTACATAATAAATCTGAAATAACATTTTTAACATATTCAACAGCACCATCTGGATCTCTAATAAGCAGAATAAAAATTAAAAAAAAAGATTAATTATTAAAATTTCAAACCTTTCAATAAGTAATTTTTCTAAACATGTACTTATTAAACTAGCAACAAGTTCACAATTATCACGTCGTACTGTTTCAATACCTTTACAATCCATTTTATCATGTTTATCTGGACGTGTAAAATAAAGACCAGCATAACGTTTTTTATTAATTAATAAATATGGATAATAACATTTTTCAAATTCAAGTTTAATTGGCGGTGGAAAACTTGATGAAATAGTTGTTGCTGCTAAACGACCAAGTTTCATAGCTTCTTCTAATGTTTTAATACCAAATTTAATCATAACTGAATCTGTATCACCATATATAACTTTAGCATCATTTTCATAACCTTTAGCTATTGTAAATTCACTTTCAATTAAAGCTTTAGTTTTTTCTATCATTTCACGACCAAATGCTGTTACTGATTGAGATATTTCAAGACATGGTAATTTACCAACTTGTGCACCTGTAAAACCATATACGGAATTAGCAGATATTTTTAAAGCATTCTGACGACCATCGAGAACTTTTTTACGAAATTCATCAGTTTCTTCTTTCATCATCTAAATATAACAAAGAAAAAAAAACGAATTTTAAATAACAAAAAAAAAATGAAAATGAATTTTGTTCAGAGATCACAAAAAATACCTGTTTTGCTTTTTTACGAGCACTAAGTAAATTTTCAAGAATTTCAGGTAATAATCCACGACGAACTTTAGCTGTTACGAAACAATTACCACTTGGTGTTGTAATATATTCATCATCAGATAGACTAGAAAAAGAAAAAAAAAATCTATAGAACTATTCAACAAAGTATTATAATAAGAAATTTTATACAATCTATTCATTCATATTATATTTATATTTAATTTAATAAAAAACAAAAAACTCAAAACTTACGTTTGTTTTATTCTTCCATCATTAATTAATGTTGAATAACATAAATTATATGCTTGCATAATTGATGGATACAGTGATGAAAAATCTAATGTTGTTATTGGTGTATCATAATAACCACGTATTGGTTCAATAACTGTAGCACCAGTAAAATCATCACCTGTTTCACTAATTTTTAATGCTGGTATCAATAAATCTTTTTCTTTACATTTTCGCAGAATTTGTGAAATAACTTTTATTTGTTGACCACGTTGAAGTAAATAATTCATTGGTACACCAGTAACACGAGCCATTTCCATATAATTAATTAATGACATTAATTTTTCTAATAAACGTAATGGTAAATAAGCATCTTTAAGACAATATACTGCAAGACGATGACGTGTTTGAGCATTACCATTCTATTCAAAAATTTTAAAAAAATTGAAATATTTAAAAAATAAAGAATAAAAAAACATTAAATTTACTTGTAAATCAGATATTATTGAATGTTGTACATCTTCTTTTTGTTGTTGAAGAAAATGAAAACTAATAGCATTAAGTGTATATGAACGAAGTTTATATTCACGAAGAAGAACCTAAACATAAGATAAGTCTATATTTTTGTATTATTCATTTGTTTGAATTTCTATGGTAAGATCAGAATTATAATTCATATTAAGGATGTAGCTAGCACGGTGATTACCAATCCACTGTTCACTCCTAATAACGACGTATCGGTTTTATGTAGAACGCTGCATGAATCTAGACATGTACGTATTAAATTACGGTGATTTTAGATTCATTTCAGGAAAATAGCTGAGTTTTATAAAACGTGACTAAATCGTGAGAACTAAGTCTTTCTCGATTGCGAGAATTTCGACAAATCTCCTATAGATTCGAATCATTCGACCACAAAAACTTTTAGTCTATGATTATGAAATTCAGCTATTTTCTTGAAACGATCATTCTAATTGAAATTAATCCAAGACCACTATAGCATTACTATGCGTTCGCTATCTTCACGGCTAGTCTATACGCATATGTTTAGACCGTTGCATCGTTCTCACCAGTGAATGGTGAATCGATACCAACCGTAGCACAGTGTGGCAACAGCGAGTGTGAGGAGTCACCCATAACCTTAAGAAACGTTCGTTTTTTTCACTGAAGTTCCAGCATTGTATTAGTGTTTTTTGCTCACTAATTCTAAAGAAAACACTCAACATTGTCTCTTCTCTCTCTCATCATCATCATTTGTCCAATAAAATTCAATGATAATTACAAGATCCTTTTCGAATAGCATATCAAAATTCATTTGTACAACTATTTAAAATTTTATGTACAAAATCAAGTATCTTTTTCGATATTTCAAAATTGAATCAAGATTTATTTTCTTCTTATGTGTATAAAGAATATTAAGAATATCATACTATATTGATTTGTATAGCGTTCAATTGTGTTATTGATGAATTTTGATTAGGAAATGTTTTTCGTTTAAAATTATTTATTACACTCATCTGAAATAATTTAAAAAAAAATCTCCTCATATCCTATTCTTTTGTCTATTTCTGTTATTAAAAAAGAAACAAAAGATTGAATATGTGTACAGTATTAATGAATCGTCAATTAATCCATAAAAAAATTCAATTAGTAAGATATATTGTTTATTCAGAATCAATGAGTACATGATATATTTCTATTTGAATAAAAAGAAAATATAAAATGAAAATATAAATCATATCAAACTTGAAAATATCTGAACTAAGTACTACGATAGATATAGATGATCACAAATGACTAGAAATAATCTGGCGGAGTGTATAAACAACATAAAATATATTTTTTTTGTTTCTCAATCGGATAAGAACGACGTGCATAATAGTCGATTACAGCTTTTTCTGCTGCTGATGCATTTATCCAATGAGCTTGACAAAGTGGACAATTAGTTGATTTTCCTTTAATATGTTTCCATTCATTCATACAATCTTTATGCATTGATTTACCACATGAATAAAAACATGTTACTAATTTTCTATTTTTCATAAGTAAGCGTTCAAAACATATTGGACAAACATCATTATAATCAATTGATTGACGTTTAAAAGTTAAAAGTAATTGCTCTTCTTTATTTAATTGTGACGATGGTGGAACAATTGAACAAAGTCGACGAATTTGTCCTTGAAAAATATATTCTAAATCTATATTAGTAAATCGACGATATTCCATGATTGAAAGACGAAGATCCAATGAATAAAGATTAATATTAAAAATACGTTTGAGTACAAATAGAAAGTGTTTACAAACGTTATTTTTTTGAAATTTTTTACATGAACATGATGAATGATAACTAATTATGATTTTATATCGATGACGATTATATGTATAAATCCAACCTTCAAATCGATCTGATGATAAAAATTCATGTTGAATTAAATAAAAATGTCGTGTTAACATTTCACCAAGTGCTTTATCAAAAAGAATTTTTCGATGATTTGATAGTATTTCTTTAATGGAATCATCATGTTCAACGGAAGAAGATGATGATGATGATGAATATGTTTGCTAAATCAATTTGAAAATATTTAACAATTTGTTTTTTGATTCATTTAAAAGTTCTTACAAGTATTTGTTGTTTATCATCATCTGATGATGATGGGTAGATATACACATGTGTTTCACTCTCTTGTAATTGTATCACCGAGCTCATTGAAAAAACAAATATCTCAAAAAGGAATAATTCTTATGGAATGATATTCAATAACTATAGAGAAAAATTAAGTTTTCAAAAAATTTATGTTTTTATTTAAACTAGAAAAAAAAATCGAATCACAACTTCACTTGAACATTTTCATTTTGTTGATCTAATACAACAAGTGCATTTTCAAATCGTTTTCGTACAATATCCGATCCAAAAAAAGTTGCTATTTCCTGAACAGGTGGTCCTTGTAAACAACCACATAAAACTAATCGCCATATACGAAATATTTGTTTATTTGTTATTGTATTTGGTTGATATTCTTTAATGAATTTTTTGATATCATCATGTCTAAAGTGAATTTCGTTGAAATTATTTAATGTTTGTTTAATAACAAATTTAAATTGTTCAATATTATCAATAAAATCTTTTTTTATTTCTGGTTCTTTCCATAAATATTCATATGAATTATTTGTAAATAATTCATCAAGTAAAATAATACGAAAATCAATCATATTTAAAACTTTTTCAAGGTAATCATTTTGTAATTGTATTGAACTTATGAAATTTTTCTCTGGATA